GATACTTACAACAACTTATAAATCTGCCCACAACTCAGTCCCTAGTTACATCACGAACCTGGTCTCAAAATACCAACCAAATTGTTCTCTTAATTCCTCCCAAGACCTCCTGCTCTCTAGCTCCCTTGTCACCTCCTCCCATGCTCTCCTCCAGAATTTCTCCAGAGCCACTCACATCCTCTGGAACTTCCTTCCCCAATGTGTGTGACTATCTCCATCTCTGTCCACTTTTAGATGATCCCTGAAAATTCATCTCTTTAGAGAGGCCTATCCTGCCCTCACCTAACAGCTGTAAATGTATGTTGTTTATCAGTCCATCCCCCACAGTTATTACCTTTTGTATTTCTTGACCCTCCCTCTTAGATTTTAAGCTCTAATGAGCAGGGCCCTTTGAATCCTCCTGTATTTATTTGTATTGTAATTGAACTGTCTCCCCTTATGTTGTAAAGAGCTGTGTAAACTGTTGGCGCTATATAAAAATCCTGTAATGTAATAATAATAATAATAATAATAATAAATAATAATATCACAGAAATGTTATTGTAATAGTGTACAGTCTTAGGACCTTTTAAGTTTAAAATGTATTTTATAAACCTTGTTTTACAAATAATCATTTAATGCAGAAACGGAATCCCCAGAACTTTGTCCATTATCTAAAATGTAGATATTTCCTTCTAGATACTCTGGGGGATATTTACTAATCCTGGTGCACACAGAATCCAGTGCAGCTCTGCAAAGTAACCAATCAGCTTCTATGTTTTATTGTCACATCTTAATTAAACAAGCTGAAGTTAGAAGCTGATTGGTTACTATCCTCATAAGGACCTGGCTTTTTCTGGCACTTTTTGTTCACATGTAACCATCAGTTTTTTACAAGAAAAATTACTTAGAACCCCCAAACATTATATATATATTTTTAAAGCAGAAGCCCTAGAGAATAAGTTGGTGGGTTTTACCATTTTTTTATGTCACACGGTATTTGAGCAACAATTTTTCAAACTCAAGTTTTTGGGAAAAATACGCTTTTTTTGAATTGTAATGTGAGAAAAAAATACATAGCTAAGTTTTGTAAAATATAAAAGATTATGTTATCCTGAGTGAATAGATACCTTATGTCTCATGGTTGCCCTGATGCCTGCCCCTTCAAGCTCCCATTGGCTTTGGCTACTAAATGTGGTCATTAATCAATGGGGAGTTCAAGGATTGAGAGGAGACAGTCTACCAATTGACCATTAAGGATGGTTCCTAAAAACCATGGATTTTTAGGGTAATGGGGTGTTATGGGGAATGTTTATGTACAAGCTCCATGGGGAGCCTGCTTTTTATACCACCAACATTTGTCTACAGTTTTCTTACGAAAATCACAGGTATACTATAACATCCAATCTCATTGGATTAATTGCAGTTTAGGAAAGACCTATTTGAGTAAATGTGGGATTAGATTTTGATTGTGCTCTTTATGTCAAAAAGTACAGTCCATAAATGTTCTTGCTTTATATCAGCTGTACACCACATGCTACAATACACATGTTCCACTGCACTGTCCTATCTTTCTTTCTTAGTTTAGATTTAGGTATTTCTAAAACTTAAAATATCTTGCCAACCTAGTTCTTTTCTTTTACCAAAAACCCCATGTTATGTTGCTGCAACCTTTAATGTTTGTGTGGACTCATTTTATCATCAAAAACTCATTCTTATAAAGATCTAGGATATCTGTGACAGCATGTAATCATATTGGATAGTCTGTGCATGCCCTTTTGTTTGAATCATTTTCACAAGCTGGGACGTGCCTCTGTATAACTAGGTAAGATATAAAACATTTTTTTTATATATTGTTGATCATAAAAGCCAAACAAGTAACCTTAGAATTGAAATATAGCAATGCAAATAAATTTCCCTAAAGTTCACACTTAACGTAAAGGATATACACACATTTTTTTTCATTTTTTTTTGTAATCCAACCCTAAATATACAAGTTGGTAATCAATTTCATTAACCATTCATTTCCCTTTTTCAACATTTTATGCAATAATTCTTAAAATAAATCATGGTATTATCAATAAGGATGCTAATGATGGTTATAAGGAAAAGAATGATTGTGATGTTGTTGATGATTCATTGGTAAACAGTTTCATACAAGCTATGAAATATTCACAAATAATATAAACTAGGTGATAGAAAAGGATAAAGACAACCCAGCTCAAAATAGTTTATAAGCTAAACTAGCAATTAGGCATGAACTTAGGTTTCTGTCTGAATGTACATTTAAACTGAATATTGGCTGTTTGCACTTTTGTTTGAAAGATGAGCATTTAAGGTGTTTGGTGTGGATGAATGTGACAGCTTCCTGCTGTCAATAGTGGCTAAAGAAGCAGCAGATGCTCGCCTCCCAAGGCCATGAAACCAAGTGGGCTTAGATTGGAGGGGTTACATTATTGCCTAAGTATGGCTAAATATGGACAATGCTGCCACCACTATCCCCTCCACTGCCCTTATATACAGTAGGTGATTTCAGCTCATGTGTGCTGGGTCATCGATTTTTGTTTTCAGTGGGTCAGCAGGTACCAGGCATTGTTATTGACAATTAATTAAAAAAATGTGGCTTTTTGGGGATATTTATTTTTTTAAGGAAGGACTTGACAAACATTTGGGTGTCTTTTATTTACCATTTATTGTGGATGAGAAAGGGTACTATGTATCATTATTATTATTATTATTATTATTATTATTATTAAAGGCATGTTCTAGATCATAATAATCCTCTTACCTGCAAACCCCACAACCTCCGGCCAGTGTTGTGAGGAAAAGGTGCTTTTCATGGAGACAAAGTGCTCTGCACTCCCCCCTCCCCATGTAGAGGGTATGTAGCCTGGTATGGTGTGGGAGGGAGGGGCCACATGCTTGTTCCCCACCTTTTCCCACCTACCTGCTCAGATCAAGGGTCTGGTATGGATGTTTAGGGGGACCTCATTCTTTTTTGTTTTTTGTTTTTATTGCATGAGTTATCCTATTAAAATCCTTGCCAGGGTTGCAATTTTCTTTTCTTTCTTGTTGTAGTATGTGCTACAGCAAAAGTGACATATACAACATAAAAAAAAAAACACACACACCCTTCCAAAGAATACATTAGAGACCCTTGTAGGGATCTGTGTGCTTTTGATGCAATAAAATGTCTTTTGCCAGCAATTTTAAGCTTTTGTTTTTCCTTTGTAAATATTAGTATTGCTGCAGAACGTTATGTACATCACAGAGGTACACCCCTTTACAGACAGGCTTAAAATGGTTTTAAAAAGTTATCTTTTTCTTTAAAATAATAAACACATCATAGTTACCTGCTTCATGCAATGGTTTTGCACAGAGTAGCCCCAATCTTCCTCTTATCAGTTCCTCTGTTGGAGCTTCTGGCCCCTCCCCCCTGCTGACTGCCCCCAAAGCAAGCTGCTTACTCTGGGGGCACTTGTGCATGCTTGCTCCTGAGGCGCCTCTGTGTATGTATGAGACACACAGAGTGTGCCTCAGCCCCACCCTCACTCCTCCTCACTGGGCTGAGGGGGGAGCTTTTAAAACCATGTTAAGGCACCCCTCAGGCAAATTATTTAAATGAAATTTGGAATGTTTGATTTTTCACTTTAAGCATTTAACATGTCACTGCTCCTGGCTTAACAGAATTTTTAAATTTTTTTTGCATTTGTACATGTTTCTCAGGGCAGATCCCATTCCCTCATGCCACTTTTTTCGACACTTTTGTGCCAATTAGCCTATGAATTGGGCATTTAGATTTGGTTCCTATTGATTGTAATAGGGTTCGGGTTCAGCATCCAGACTTTATTGAAGTTTACCAAACCCTACTCAGACCGGACCCAGGGCAGTTCAGCTCTTCCCTACTAACAATGATATTTATTATATTTTTCTTGTTATAGTTTTTAAAAACAGCATAAACCTTATGGATTACAGGGGAATCAAACTAAACAAGTTGGTGCAACACATTTGCCTATCCACAAATTCTGGCTCTTCTTGGAAATGTTCAAAGCAATTTCAGGTCACCTGAGTAATATAAAGCATCATGATTCATGTATGTCCTAGAGCACCACAAAGGTGAACATGCTGGGTACAGCTTCCGGATGTTATTAGTATACAGTGACCAATCTACTTCAGCTGGCACCTCTTATTCCTACAGAGCAATGCCTCCACAATGTCCTCACACAACCACACTTACCGGACAACTAATAAGAAATGTTTCAGAGAAATTTCATTTCAGCTGTTTACACCTAAAGCCTAGTTCTTTTGGCTTTTATTCATCACCTTATGATTATGACCATGACTGCAGAAAGAAACATAGGTTTTTATGCTATCTGTGTCTCCTCTGGACCATTTCATCTCAATGTGTCCTGGTGACCACTATCACTGGGATAGAAACTGATGGAAACTTCAACATTTTATAATAGTCACTGCAACAGGTATACAGGGGAAATCTTTCAAGCAGGTATCTGTTCCAGTGGCAGTTGTCTAAGTAGGAATTTTCTCTTATTTTCAAAACAATTCCTTCAATTCCTGTTGTGACTTCAGGAAACTTCCCCTTTAGGCCCATGTCACATTTGTGATTCTGTTACTGGCATGAAATGCTTGTTTCCCCAGTGCTGATCCCTCATTGGCTGAATAAGCAGGGAATTACTCTTTTTCTGCTTAAGAACCTTTGGAATTTTGCTTGCCAGGGGGTGACAATTACTTGTTTGAGCCAATAAAAAGTGATACTGTGTAAGTGGTGAAGTAGTTCATCTGTCCTTCCTAGCAATCCTATCTCTAGGGTAGTGGTGGCCAACAGTGGATGGTCCCCAACATGTCAAAAGGGCTGCACAATGACATAAGTCCTTAAGGTAGGAAGACCTTACTATAATACAAAACAGACATGCACCATTTTTTTTTCAAGGCACAATGTGTGCTGTGCACAAAACAAAATTGCAGGTGTGTTATAGTGTGATATGTTTGCACATTATATTGTCATTCAAAATGAATGCCACTACAATGCACTGCAAGTAGTTGTATGCAAAGTGTGGTAAACTATACATTTTTTGAATGAGCTAAAAAGGTCCTGATGCAAAAAGTCCAACAAATATGTGTTGGGGCAATGGGAGTGGGGGGGGGGGGGGATTTATCAAAACTGGAGTAGCTGTGCATATTAACCAATCCAATTCTGTCTTCAGGTCGTTCAGTTAAGCTTTGAAACTGAGGCAAAAACTGATTGGTTGCCATGCACAGCTGCTCCAGACTCTGTATGCTCTGTTTTGATAAATCCCCCTCATTACCACAATACATATGCACAGTGGACGAGTGGTCATGAGGGGGGCATTGTAGTGCCATTCATTTTTATTTGCACCCCAATGCACCTCATGTGGAAGCAGAGGCAAACTGACCATTTGGAAACTCGGGCACTGCCCGAGGGCCCGAGGTCAGTAGGGGGCCCCATGAGATGCCCCTGGTACCTTTTTCATAGGCTTTTTTGAGTTTGGGCAAGGACACAGGGGCCCCATGATCCCCTATTGCCCGGGGGCCCCATGAGTTATCAGTCCGCCTCTGTGTGGAGGGTTAGTAGTTAATAGACTCCAGATAACAAGCACAATCAGGAAAAAGTCAGAAATGCGAGGTTTACTGCCATTTTACTTGGCTTTAACATACTATTGGTTTTGCTTGTTTCCAGACATTTCAGGGGAGCTCTGTGTAAGACGTGTTGTTCATAAAACACTGTGGAGGCTTCTCTGTAACTGTGACCCACACACTATAGCTCTATTCCATCTCTTTGGGTGGAGAGTGCAGGGGCTGAATAAAGCAGAACTAATAATCGCAGTTACTTACCTCTTTTTCATCCTTGGCACAGCTGCAGAAGAAACTCTCTCTTTCACATGCATTCCATGGAGGAGGGACATAGCAGGGGAGGGGTGGCCATAGAGACATCACTTGAACTAACACAGGTCTCGGATAATCGACGCATAACATGTAGTGAAATTGCAAAAGAGACTAATCTTTCTGAGGGAACAGTGAACACAATGATGACAAAGTGAAGCAGGCTGTCCTAGGATTGTTCAGTCATACTGCCAAATCTTTCTATGCCAAAGATTTTCAGGAATTATTTAAATGCTGGGATATGTGTATAAATGTAGCAGGGGAGTATGTAAAAGAAAATGCAGTTTCCACTCCTTGAAATTTGTTCTTGTATTATATAAACTCAAAAGGTGTGGTTTGACTTGAACACCCCTCGTATATTCAAAATCTATGTCCAAGTTAGAGTATTATAACATATATTCAATGTCTTAATGGTGCATGAAAAGCTTTTTTTTACCTTACTTGATCTATTATAATACACATTTCATAAAAATAACTTTTTTCTGGTATAATCATAACTTGCATTTTCATGTCATTTTCCAATGTCTCTAACTGGCGTTCTTTACACTAACTGCTATTATTCCTAATGATACATTGACAATATATGAATATACTGAGACGGAAGAATGTGTAACATTGATATGGCTGCTTATCTCTGCTGACATCTGGGGTGACAGCTCTGTGATACAACATTGGAAATATAGAAGGATATTATTGTGATTGATAGATTAATAATAATACATCACAAAATATTGGTATTATGTACGGATGTGAAACATCTGCAGGAACTGTTACTGTATCTCACGATACAAAGACAGGTTAGAATGAGGTAATTCAATTAAAGCCAACTTTCCTTGAATTCTAGATAATCCACCATGATAGGTTTACCTGTGACATTCTGAAATATTTCTGCTTAAACATTCCTACCTTTACAAAATGTTGGCTACGTGCCACACATACTGTATATGTTATAACAGTAAACAATTGTACTTCAGGAACTGAAAAACAACATTGGCTGTCACCATTCTTGATATTTTGGTTGAAAATGTCAGTAGCAAGTGGTAGTACCCTCCTATTATTAAAGTGTCAGTCCACCCAAAATTCACATTTCAGTTTTTGGTACATGACTGGTCAATGTATACTATAGAAACAATGACAAAATTTGAGGACACTAAAATAATAGTAAAAGAAAACTAATCAACACTAAAAGCAAAAACTACCTGTCATGTAATAATGTATGGTCATTTTCAAGTGCTGTGAGAAGATTTCTTGGTTATACACAATATATCCATAGTTAGCTAGGTTGAAAAAAGACACCAGTCCATCTAGTTCAACCAATAATCACACAACCAATTTCACAATGTTCTATGTGTGTTTCTTAGTCAGTGTATAAGGCTGACCATAGATAGACTGAATCTCAGCCAGTTTAGCAGAGACCAGCTGAGATTCAATCCATAGGCATCTATAGGCAGGCTGGTTGTACTAAAGTTGATTCATCGATTTCAGTACAACCAGCCTGTCAGATTAATTAACGTGATAAATACATTTCAGATTCTTGACCTACGTGTTACCCCTTTGACTGACCCTGCATGTATTGCATTCTAAACTAAAAAGACAATTTTTTTTTGGCTCGTACCAAATGATGTGAATGATTATATCCACAATTGTCCACCTTAACATCCCCTTTACTCTCTACCCATTCCACCCCCCTTTTTTTTTTCCGCCTCTCATTCCCCCCCCCCCCCCACTACCTCACTCTACATTTCCATCTCCTTCTCTAGCTATTCTCCTGTCTGACTTTTCTTTATCTCAAACTTTTTTATATGCCTTCATTATTCATATATTCCCAACAAATATGGCATTTCATCTCGCATACAGGTGTGCCTGATTTCACATGGCTTACATGCTCCCGAAATGGACACACAAATTTTGCCATATAAATCATCCTGTGCTAGCATTTCCCAACACTTAACATTCACTCAACATAAGGGCTCACCAGTACATAGGTCAGTAATCATTTTACCTATTTTGATTTATCTACTATACTCTTTTTATCTACTGGTTTGCCATATACATTTGCAATAAGGATATATTTCAACCAGATGTGTACTTTTGTTTAAACCCATGGTCTGTCTGCGAAACGGGATGTTACATGATGTGTCTATGTTCGGACTGTGATTCGTCTTTGTATGTACACTGCTATATCTTACTTTTTCTAATAAAAACCTTTTTGGACAAAAATTAAAGTGATAACTGCCAGAGGCTATAGCAGCCAACAGTGATCATTGTGTTGTGCTGGCAAGGAAGACTCCCCACCAGCAGATGACAATAGCACTGTTGGAGGGATTCCCCCATCAACATTGACTGTATTGATATGGCAATCATGCAATTTTCTTTCATTTTATCCGTCGTGAAAGTAAAAGAAATTGCATAATCTATGGGCTGCTTAAATCATTTAGGCATTTTCAATTAGTCAGTTAACCTAAACATTATATTTATACATTTTGGAAGATGCTGGATGGTTTAATTACCTGTCAATTTCTACATTTAAGAAGTCTGTGGTGAGATATTGGCACCGGAGTTTCTAGGTCTAGGAACCTGCTGCTGGGACCATTATGAGGGGTACCATTTTCCCAAATAGATTTATTTATTATACATTATAAAGAATTATATAGGAGATGCTGGAATACACAGAGGTGGATGAGAACACCCCAAACTCCCAAGTTTACAAAACATAGGTGTCCTTTTATGACACAGAGAATAGCTGAGATTTAGAGGATCGCAGCTATTCTCTGGTCATTCAAAGTTTATAACACTCAGGAGAATATGTTCAGCCCTTCACTGGAGATCTGTGTTCTCCCTCCAGATTCTCCAGCCCAGAGATGGAGAATCGGAGGAACCGCAAAACTAAGCAGCGATAATTTACCTCTGCTTAGTAAACTGATCTTTTACTGTAATCTCGCGAGATTATAGTAAAATCAGCCGTTTTCCAGTGTTTGTAGACCGTTCTCCCTTCGCTTGGAGAACTGATCTACATATGCTTCATAAACGGCATTCACAGGAGAACTGTGTTCTCCGAGAATGCCGGAGAACTGAGCAGCGATCTATTACTGCTGGTTCATAAACGGACACCTATGTTTGCTAAACAAATATGGCAATTGCTCTGGTTAATTTATAAAGAGATTTTTTAAATAAGGTCTGAGTGCAAGGTCTTTGCACGGAGAAAACATTGGATTTGGTGTAGGGACACACTTAAAGCAGCATTAAATCCAAAACAAAAAATGTAACACATTGCAGCCAATTAATCCTTAAACGTGGTGGCTGCATTTGCTTTACTTTTTTCCTTTGTTTTCATCTGGTGATCTTATTAGTAGCATAACTCCTGTATTAGGATGTCTACACTCTATAAGAGAGAAAAACAGAGATACCTTTGGACAGCAGCGTTTTTAATCTAGTGAGAGGGATATGTTAGATTCACTAGCAGATTTAGATACACTATTGCAATACAGTACAAATTGAAGCCAAACTCCACCTAACACTTTAAAAGCAGCTACAGCAACAGGTTTTTTTTTTATCATTTTGGGATAAGGATTTGACATACATAAATATAAGCTAATCATTGTAATCACCCCTGTCAGTGGCAAATGGTTTGTCTCAATCCTCTAACTGCTGCATCTGCAAGACTGCTTTTTCTGTTGAAAATTTACTTACTGACTGGGTTACCAGTTGAAAGTAAAGGAAAGAAAGCCTAAACAGAAAACTAATGTTGGCAATACTATAGAATACCACAACAGTAGATTAAAAAGGTAGCATTTTTTAGGGGATAAAGATAGAAAGAGTAAATAATAGGCTCCAACAAATAAAGGGTCACTAAGCGTGAACAAGACTTTTATAAAACTAAATAAACTTAAAATAAATAAATGCCATCTGTTTTTTTTTATATGCTTATTAGGATTATGAGAATTAGAAGAACACAATTCAGCAAAGTAAAGAGCAGTCAGCAGTATAAAAACTGAGTACAAAGATAAAGGTACATATATGATGACCAGGTGCGTTATAGTACACTTGTGTAACAAGGTAGTATACAGCACAAAGTTTTCTGCCATTTGTTTTTCAGCATGGCAGCTTACATAAAGCAATGGTTGCCAAATCAAGAGGTATGCTTGTTATATCTTTTAGTTTCCATGCAGTGCTCAGTATATCCCACATTGTCTGACTTTGTGTTTTAGGTCAGAGAATTATTCAGATCTTTAACCTCATTTCTGAATTAGCTGGTAAGATGTGGTAACTGATCACGTTTTCTACTACCTCTCAGCTCCCACGTTTCCTAGAAAGATTGATACATACCCTACGTGTGGGCTATGCGCTGGGTCATCGCATATCACTGGAAGTCAATGGTAGTTCCTTTTTCACAAACCATTTCTCAAATGAATGCAATTATGTTGATGGAAGAAATATTTCACACTATTCAGGTCTCTAAACCCTGTTTTGATGCTAAATGGGATCCATAGTGTTTTTATATCGCCTACCCACTGTTGATTAACCACTTGAGCTCCAGAGGATTTACCCCCCTTAATGACCAGGCCTCTTTTTGCTACTCGGCGCTGCATTAATTCAACTGATAATTGCACGGTCATGCAATGCTGCACCCAAACGAAATTTACGTCCTTTTTTCACACAAATAGAGCTTTCTTTCGGTGTAATTTGATCACCTGTGCGCTTTTTATTTTTCACGCTATAAACAAAAAAAGGCCAAAAATTTTGAAGAAAAACATATTTTTATTTTCAAAAAATATATAGTAAACTCAAAGTTGGTTATAAATTTAGGCCAAAATGTATTCTGCTACATGTCTTTGGTAAAAAAAAATCCCAATAAGTGTATATTGATTGCTTTGTGTGGAAGTTATAGCGTCTACAAACTATGGTATAAATACTGCAATTTACGCCATTTTTCTGCTATACAGCGCTGCGCTAGTTTAATGGACAATTGCGTGGTCATGCACTATGGTACATAAATGAAATTTACATCCTTCTTTTCCCCACAAAGTGAGCTTTCTTTCGGTGGTATTTGATCGCCTGTGCGGTTTTTATTTTTTTGCGCTATAAAAAAAAAAGGCTGACAATTTTGAGGAAAAAAAAACTATATTTTGGACTTTTTGCTATAAAACATGTCCAGTAAAAAAAAATGCAAAAATCAAATTTAGTCATAAATTTCTGCCAAAATGCATTCTGTGACATGTCTTTGCTAAAAAAAAACCCAATACGTGTAAATTAATTGGTTTACGTAAAAGTTATAGCGTTTACAAATGGCGGGAAAGATACTGGGATTTTTAGGGTTTTTTTTATACTAATAATGGCGGCGATCAGCGAATTATGGCGGCGATCAGGGACTTATGGCAGTGACCAGTGACTTATGGCGGGACTGCGGGACTGCGGCGGACGTTCTGACATTGGGGGGTACTGACTTGGGGTCACTGACATCCCCAAAAACACTAATACAGTGATCAGTGCAAAAAAAAAAAAAAACTGACACTGTACTAATGGCAATGGGGAGGAAGGGGTTAACTTTATTTTGCAGGGAAGGGTTATAGGAGTGAGGGGAGTGTTTTACTAGGGGGCGGGGGTGTGTACTGGGCGTGACAAGGCTGATCGAGAAAGAGAAACTGTTCTTTCTCGATCAGCTCATCCTCGAGCTGACAGGGAAGTGACAGCACAGCTACTGCAGCTGTGCTCTCTGTCACTGTTTGCCGCCGATCGCCGGGACATAGTCGCTAAGCAGCAGCTGTGACCCGGCGACTGACATCCGCGGCGGTGATCCGTGGGACAAATAGGGCAGCGGCGCACCTCGCACGCGCCCCCTATTTGTTTAGAAAACACACGTTTTAAAACGTGGTTTTGCCTGTGAGTGCTGCCCTGCTGCCATATATGTACAGTGGCTGGGCGGCATGCGGTAATGGAATGCTTTTTGGCATATATATCCATTTTCGATATTTAGATACACTTTCAGTTCACTTTCTACTTCACTGTGCCTTTTTGTTGGTTTTCTTTTTTTACCTTTTAAAATTTGCATATTTTGGATATTTTATAAAGCAGATAGGTATCACCACTTGTTAATGCTTTACTGAATATTTGGGTATATTCACTTTATGCTGTATTTTCTACTTGTTCCACTTTTCTGCTCAGTACACATTTGTAAACAATAAAAAAAATCTGAAAATAATTACAGATAAGGTTAATTGCCAGAAAAAATAAAAAGCAGATATTTGTATTTGACAGACTTTAGAAAGGTGGGGACCTTTTCCCTCACTTCCTGTTGTGGTGGCTGTGCAGGAGCGAAGGATAAAGCTTGCCATACACAGTTCAAATTCCATCTGATTCCTGCTGGCTCAGCCAAAATTCAAACAGTGTATGGTCCTGTCAGCACTACTCTGTTAAATCAGTTGTGTCATTGTCAGATGAACAGAGCCGCCCAATCAGATGCAGGCACTGTTAGTCTTGGTTCACACTACTGCTACCTGAAAGTAAAGTGACTTGCAGTGCGACTTTACCAGACGACTTGAGTACTACTCTGAAGCAACTCTGAAGCAATTTTCAGGGAATGCCTGGATAATCTGCCTGTAATGTCGGATCCAATTCACATCAATATAGATGAGGATCCAACTTGGAGGTGACTTCTATTAAAGTCTATGGGCACAAGTCAGATAGAAGTTGCCTTGGAGTAGTACAGGGACCTTTTCCAAAGTCGGAGCGTTTTCAGTAGTGCTAATTAAGACAGCTCTCATTGACTAACATGGGATTTCACATGTCGGATCCTAAGTGGTGGCAGTGTGAACCGAGCTTTAGGATATTCTGACAGTAGGTGGTGCTAACTGTCATAATACAATAGCCCAGCAGGGAGGAATCATCCATCTGTACAGCTAGCATGGGTGGAGGAATCTGTTAAATTTAAACAAAATAAATCTATTAGTGTATGGCCAGTTTTAATCTCCCTAGTGGGAGAATTATTATTAACAAAAAATTGGCAATAGTTGACAGTTTACCAACTACTAGAATGTACTTTTTTCTACTATCAGTAACCCCATTGGAGAGATTTCTCTTCATTGCTCATTCTGGTAACCATGTAAGAGTAAGAGGAAATTCCCCAATTGGGGCAAAAACAACAATAAAACCTGACAATGGTTCTATCTCTTCTTCTGTCTAATAAAGTGGTATTAAACCCAAAAACAAAAATGTAATATAATGCTGCTTCATCATTCAATGTAGTTGCTGCTTTAGTTTTGTTTATTCCTTCATTTTCAGCAGTAGCACAATTCTTGTCTTAGGTTGTCTCCACTCTGGATGGAGAAACAACATCTTTGGACAGCAGAATTGTCAATCTGGTGAGAGGGTTTTGCTAGATGCACTAGTAGATTTAGATGGATTTGACTAACAAATTAAGGCAGAACTCTTGCTAACACTTTCTAAGCACTTGCAACAACAGTAGTTTTTTCTTTTGGTGTAAAGGTTTTATATAATAGAATAAAAGCTGATTATTGTAAGCACCCATATCAGTATTAAATGATTTGTCTCAATTTTCTAAATGCCACTTCTGTTGAAGAGCATGGTCTGTTAAATGACATTTAAAAATATCACACTTACTGGGCAGATCACCAGTGAAAATAAAGGTTTGTGTTTGAGACAGTGCTGGGTTCACACCAGACCCTGTCATTCATTTATTGGCTGTATTAATACCACAATAAAGTGTCCTGCTTTGCAGGCCACTAACACCATTGGTTGCTAAGACTGTATTGGCTGTATAGCATCAATGGTTGCTAGGACACTGCAGACCCCAATATCCTAGCAAAAACTATCCTGCTGTGTGCCTAGTTGGTACAACAACGTGAGTGGGCATACTAGGTAGCTTGATTGTCCAAATATGGTCCACATATGGACCACATTTGGTCAATGACATCAGCCAGCTCCAAGCCTTTTTATTTACATGCAGCTATGGGGCAGGGAGGTGTTACTCATGGCGAGCAATCATTGGGAGTAGACTGCCAGAGGATCATTGCATTTTTAATTTGGCTAGTTGTTAGCAGGGCTTAAAATTTCAAGTCCTGAGCTACTAGCCAGGCCTTAAGAGTTACTCGCCACCAACAAACACACACAGAGACACCTGTACACACACAGACATGTACATACACACAGACACATGTACACACACACACATACAGACACATGTATACACACACAGGTACGTACAAACACGCATACACACAGATACATGTACATACATAGAAATACACATGCGCAGACACATGTACATACACACAGACACATGTACATACATACACAGACACATGTACGTACATACACACACACATGTACATGTACACACACACACACACACACACACACCCCCCATACAAAGTTGCAGTACTTCGTTGTTCACTCACAGAGCCGGGTACTGCACTCTAGGGGGAGGCAGAGAGCACAGCACACACTCCTTCCTTTGCTTTCACTGCGCTCAGCTATTGAGCAGTCTGATGGCTCCCAGTGCCAATGACAGATCCGGCCTGAGCTCCGAGCCTGCTCAGCAAGACGGCCCTGGGGGACACACTCGCCCCCACCATAATTTCCACTCACCATTGGCGAGCAGGTGAGTGGAAATTTCAAGCCCTGTTGTTAGGATTGTCATTTATTATGACTGACATGAATCTACATCGCTGGACAACATGACTGATGTTGAATGTACATTGTGGGGCAATTTTTGTTATCATGCGGTGTGTTCATTAACTATTTAATCTTTTTTGTGAATGAGTAATAAGGTAATTGGATAAGTTAATTTTTCTTGCTTTTTATTTCAGAATTCCCCTTAAAATCCAGCCCAGAGCAAAAAGGTCCAGAATGGATTTTGGGGGGCCCATTCTTTTTTTGTGCTGAGATCATACCAGAACCAAAAATACCAAAACCAGACAAAAACACATTCCTTTTTTCTTGATATAGCCTTGATTTAAGGAGGACTTTATTCTAAAATAAGGATGGGTTACCCTCAAAAAAGCATACCTGACCCTTAAATGAGCATGCAGCCTGGCTGGCCAGGAATGGGGTGGCAGGGGAACTTCATTTGCAAAGTAGTTTATCTTTATGTTAACCGCTTGCCTGCCTCCCTATAGTAGAAATACTGTTACAGGGCAACAGGGCTGTGGAAAATCACATATATATACTGTATACGTGATTTTCATTTCTGAGTTGGGTGCGTGCATGCATGTGCACGCCACCCTACCCATGCTGCCATTGGCGGATAGGGATGTCAATAATTTTTTTTCTATCTTTATAAAGGTCACATTTGCTGTAATCATACAGATGTGCCACTTCGCAGGTGGATTTGAGGCATTCCCCAAACATATTATTTACCATTTTTTTGCATTGCTGAAAGAGCTTCTCCCTACCAAATGGTATTTTTCAACATTTTGCAATAGTACATGTCCACCCTGACAATGTCCAGTTCCCAATGAGTTTTGCTTGTTGATCCCTTGCTTTTTAGCCTTGACATTGTAGAGAATTAAATTTCAAGATTTAGCTCCCATTGAGTTTAATTGGATTCAGAATAATGTAAGCAATTCCTAACATTTTTGATCAATTCGAAGAACATCCCTGGCCCATTCAGATCATCACTAGTTATGACGAAGAGGAATAAAATTAACCAAAAACACCTCTATTAAAAAATGTAAAACACAGTAGGGCACTCTTAAAAAGATAATGTCTCACTTCCATCACAAATCCAAAATTTAGGGGGTTTATTCTCCAATTTTAAAATGGTAAGCACCATGCAAATATTATTATTATTTTTGCCATTGGGCTAACTGTGCAATAAGAAAGAATGGTTTACAGTACAGATACAGCCTAATACTATACAGTAACTTCCTTTATTCCAAAATACACATATTTGCAGTTTGTGAAAATCAGGGCTTCTACGGAATATAGCTTGGGGAGAACAAGGAACTATAACCAGACAGGTTATGTTTTAAGTAGCAAACAAATTCTACGCAGGAGTATAAGTCCATTTATTTGGTTCTTCCATCAATAAAGGTTGCAGTGAATTGTGGAAGTATCTAACTCTACGTTTGATAAGCTTAACTGACATTTAGCACCACACAATATTTCTCTAAGTGAAACTAAACCCTTCAGCAACCTATTTTGGAAAACTAACAATATGCAGAATGACTGGAATTTTTTTGAAAAAGAATTTTGCTTCTTCCAATGGACATGTTTAAGTATTATATGGTAGTAAGCTAAACATGATGCTCCCAAAATACTGTGTACTCCATTAGAGCAGTAGTAAGCTCTAAAAAAAAACTTCTCCCTTCACGTTAAGAGCATAGTGTGCTAGTATGCATTGGCACAGAGCTCTGAAGGGATGGCATGAGTATGCTGTCCCTTTAGATCGCGTGTGCGATGATGTCAGTGCTGCAGAAACAGTGAATATCACCTAAACGGTGCACTTTAGGAGATATTCCTTGTACTTCCAAGTGTCCAAGTGGTGTTTATTACCTCTTTGCTTATCTTCACTAGCCATCCTTTGCAGTGTATTTATTTCTCAATTATTACAGACATTCTTTCAGCTGTGTATGATATAAATGGTTTCAAATAAGGACAAAATCTAAGTTCAAGGGGTTGCATTCAATGTGGGTGCTTTTGAACTTTGTCTACTTACTATATGAAGTATCCCTAACAATCATATGAAAACAGTTTATTATATGTAAGGCTCCACACATGTATTTTTAATCAGGATTACATTTCACACAGATCTATCATCGTGCACAAGTGTAACAGGCCAGTGCTTCTTGAACACATATCATTTCTCTGCATTCCTCTTTCAACCTTTTTTAATTTGTATAAATCTACTGCATTCTGACCTGCAAGGCAGTATTTCTTTAGGAAAGCCAAAATGTTTTGTGACATGGAAGAACAATTTGTTTTTTATGCTCAGACAAAAGAATTCTTTAATGTGGAACAATATCCAGGTCACTCGTGCAGCACAATGTGAAGAATGCAAACAGATGCACAGGCTGTTTCTCAAAGAAGTGCTGGCCTCAGACAACTGCTGCTGAAAAACGTTATTTTACAGGTCTGCTTTTTGTTTCATTCCTTCTGTGTTTTTGTTTGCATTCTTTTCATATTGGAAGATGATTTCAATAGGATATTTCTATGAAAGTTTAACTTAGAACTGATTTCAGTTAACTATCTGCTAATCTGCTAATGTACAATGACAGGATGAAAAGGGAGGCAAATCAAATCAGATAATGATCCTCAAAACGTACCTTTAACTGCTTACTAGTATTCTATAATAGCCCTACTGCTGTAATTTGTATCAATGCTTTGAGTTACAAACTGGCTCAAGGTAAGTGGAGCATCAAAGGGCTCCATTGAAAAATCCTCTGGTGCTAATCTGGCTCAGTCAGAAGCTATTTTTCTTATTTATTCTACATGTACTAGTAGCTCAGGTTTTGACTTTTGAATAAATAATCCTTGGTGTTTTGGCATTGTTTCTTCCCTGCTTTATCAAAGAGTATAGAGGAACTTGAAAATGTAATATGATTATACAATATAAAAGCCTCCATCACAGAATGCATTAAATGTTCCAATATGCAATTTTCTTGTGTTGCTGCTTTGAAATAAGTTTTAAATCAAGTTTAACTGTTATCTGGTCTTCTTCTTCTGCTAGAGAGATTTCCCATAATTTTCTGTTCAGGTGACAACCATTTCACCATACAGGAAATTAGAAAAAACTCCAACAGTAAAAAAAAACACTTAAAAAAAGGGAAAGGCTGGAATCCTTGTTAGTTTTTTTTTTTTTTTTTTTTTTTTTTTTTTACTGTTGTCTTTTCTCATATTGTTGCTGATGTTCCAACACTTAACCAAATATTCTATTCACTTTGCAAGGGAACTTTCACTATACAAAGAAATCTTCCATTATCTTAGTGAATGTGGTGAAAATTCACTTTGTAAGGAATACCCAATCAGGTTTATGAAAAATAGAAAGAGTGCTACAATGATTGAATGATGGAAGTCAGCAGAGATTCATCTCATTGACTAAAAGCCCCGGATAGCAGAAAAAAAAAACAATAAATGGGGTTCTAATTCTGCTGCACATATTTGTAAAAGTGTTGTACTTAGCCTTCATGTGATATTTTGCCACATCTGCTCTTCCTAAAACAGTGGATGATGTTGATCTTTACCCCTGACAAAGTATATGATTCAAAAAACGAGCTGGATCCACTGCTGCCTATTCCAGACTCTTTGTCTGTGTTGGGCTATTGCATCAATAAAATATTTATTATGCAGTGATCTTGAGGCATTCTGGAATACTTCTGAGGGGGGGTTTTGTTTTTTTTGGATGAGCTGGTAGTAAAAGGTAGTTTTCCTTTTCATAATTATTAGTATTCCAGTATCACTGAGCACTTTAGAACAGACATCCTAAAACACACAGATGTATGATATCTCCATGGTAATTTCCCCCTTCTCCCACCAGCCATGGGGTTCCATTTTAAAAAGAAATCTTTACGTACTGCAATCTCTGTCATCCAAATTAAATTATAAAAGGCCCATGATAAATGGCATAGTATGTAAGTGTTGCTGAGAGTTCAAGATGGATTCCTACAGAAGTGCAAGCCATGAGTAAAAATGTCAATAACATCTGACTTTTAAGGCCTTGGGGATTTGAAAGATGGTCTGGGAACACATTAATGGCTTGAACAGGGGTGGACAGACCATTCCAGCACTCGGGCACTGCCCGAGGGCCCGGGGTCAGTAGGGGGCCCCATGAAATGCCCCTGGTACCTTTTTTATAGGCTTTTTTGAGTGTGGGCAAGGACACAGGGGTCCCATGATCCCCTATTGCCCGGGTGCCCCATGAGTTGTCAGTCCGCCCCTCGGCTTAAATATGTACATTAAATGTACTGGTCAAATATTAGTGTATTAGTCAAATATATGCATTTCAATGATTGTAGCACACTTCTTTGCAGAGCTTTCTCTGTTGCTGTTGTGCTGAAACAGACACGTGCATTCTAATCACTTCCTACTTCCTAAGTGTTTAATTAGTCTGTTTGCTATATTCCTATGAACATTCCCAGTATTATATAATAGACAACTTTCCTGAAAACCATTGAGCCAAACACATGAGAAAAAAGCATTTAGGAGGACATTCTATATATGCTGTTGTTGACCTAGTTGCAACGGTTACAAGGCCACAAGATATGAATCTTTTGACAGTTTTCAAAAATTCAATGGCTACAGCTTCAATCAGAAAGATAATGTTTATGAGAACTAAATTGGAAAATTACTTGCTCAGCATTTTCTTTTAACAGTCTTTTGGTACTTGGAAGAACCATATTAGCAACCTAATTTACTTATAGGATAAACAAAATGATAAGTCATTGTTTACAACGCACTATTTACATAGTTGTAACATGGTTGTAACAAGAAGCAGTTATTTCCTTTTTTACCCCCACAATGTGTGCTTCTTTCTCCTTGTTTTTTATTAATGTATGACTGAACTTTCTACAGAGAAGAATAGTTTCAGGTGACATAGTTAAGGTTAAGGATACTTAGTTGCAACCAAGCATATCCCTGGGCATTCACCACCTTCATGTTGCATAGAAATAAAAACTATACATTTTAATTTTAATTATAAATGAA